TTATTTTTATTTATTATCATATACATACGGTATTTTTTGTGTTTTCTTTGTTTTTTTCTATATGTTTTTTATTTATTTATTTACTTTTATTATTTTTTTAATTTATTTTTTAATCTTTTTTTAATTTATTTATTTATTTTTTGTTATTTTTTATTTTTTGTTATTTTTTAATATTCACTTTATTTTTATTTTTGCTTATTTTTTCCCCTAATGGCATCTTATTTTTTATTTTTTTATAAATGGTCATACTGTCTGTAAAACGCTTATTGATTAATGTGTGACTGCAAAAAAAAAACAAAATAAATATAAATAAAAAATAATAATAAAAATAAAAACACAGACGACCGAGCAACAAGCAGGTGGTTTTCACGTCATGAGTTTACAACAGGCCCTCTGCCTCGCTAACCCAACGTAGCCTTTGAGATCATGTGGTATCTGCTAATAATAATATTCTTAAACTCTACATAGACGGGACATTTAAGCTTTGGATTGCTAAAGACTGCCGACCACTTCTCTCGGCTCAGAAGATTTCACGTGACTCTGGACATTAGCATCTCAGAGTCGTGTCATGGGGCTGCATGAGACTGCAAACGATGTCTGTGGATGCATGGGTTGTTTTGTCTTGTGACTGTGTTTCTTAAATTCTATAAGAGCCCACTGCTTTGTATGGTCGGGGTCTTTTCTGCAATTTTCATCTCAGCAGGACCCGGGCTTAAGTCTGTAATTTGTCTGTTTTCTGCTTATATACATTAAACCTGCTTTTTTTACTGCATATCTAAGCAGAGCCTGAGCTTCCATTCACTAATCACTCGTTTGTGCAGGAGGGAAACCCAGTTAGATTATTTACGACAATCATAAACACAAGCTCACTGTGTCATCCATCCAACTTCAGCTCAGCCATTAAAGACCTTGTTCTAAATTGTGTGGAACCTCTGCCCTTTCTCTCAGACCAAGGGTAAGTTCATATTCAACTGTTTGGCTCTCCTCTTCCTCTCCTCTGTCGGAAAACGTCTCTGGGTTGTCAGTAATAAAAATGAAAATGCTTTGTGTTGAGAAAATATAAATACAACTTGTGTTTAATTTTCTGACAATTTAATGACCTTCTTTGGGTGTTTTCTTTTCGCTCTTCTTTTGATGACGTCTGTAAAACATTATTGTCGATCGCTCTGTTTTTCCTTGGTACTTGGCTGTGGATTGTTCTGTAAAAGAGGTCTTAACCATCTGTTATTCATGTGTATATTTGAAGAGTTCATTTGCAAAAACAGATATCTCCGTTTTGAGATCCATATATTGTATCATTCAAGTTCACTGTGTCATCCATCCAACTTCAGCTCAGCCATTATAGACATTGTTCTAAAGCCCAGTACGTCTGGAATTCTGTCGTTAACTTGTGAGATGGTAAATAATTGTCATTCAGCCAATTGCCAGTCAAGACAGGTGACAGTAGCTCAGTTGGACGAGCATTGGCCTTTGAGCCAGAGGGTCGTGGGTTCGAGCCCGACTTTCACCATCGGCTCCCACTGTTTAAGTGTCCTTGGCAAGACACTTAAACTCTGGCAACACCAGCCACAGTGGGGCGGCAGTGTGAATGGTTGGTGTGTGTGTGAATGGTTGGTGGTGGTGGGAGGGGCTGATGGCACAGACTGGTTGCCTCGCTTCTGTCAGTGTGCCCCAGGGCAGCTGTGGCTACAGTAGTTTATCACCACCGTGTTTGGAGTGAAAGAATGAGGACATGAGACAGGCCTCCTCTCTGACAATGTTTAAGACAAGGTTGAAAACAGTTCTGTTTAGCTGTGCATACAACTGAGGGATTTTATATTTTTATCTTTTTTTTTTTAATGTACTGTGATTATTTATGATTTTAATGCTTTCTTGTTCTGTTCAGCACTTTGAATTGCCTTGTGTATGAATTGTGCTATACAAATAAACTTGCCTTGCCTTGCCTTGCCTTGACATGTGAAGCGTCTCTGAGTGTCCAGAAAAGTGTTATATAAAACCGATGCCGACAGTTTTTCAGTCTGTGATGGCAGCACGCTGGACAAGTCTGGTGAACAAATCTAGCCCTCTAACAAAAATGTTTGGTAGGGGAAACCGGAGCAGACGCGGGGAGAACATGCAAACTCCACACAGAAAGACCCTGTTCCGACCAGGATTCGAACCCAGGACCTTCTTCCCGGGAAGCGAGAGTGCTAACCACTCAGCCACCATGCTGCCATAAATACAATATTGAGTTTGCAGCTTTTTTATGTCCGTGTTCTGATTTGAGGACTTATTTCCATTATCCATCTATCCATTTGAGCCACTGTCTTCTTTATACAGTCATCATGGGGGTCAAGTAAGTTTTGTGTTGATTTTGGGCGTCTTTCAGAAAAGTTTGGGAACCCCCGACCCAAACAAAAGGCTGAGAAGTCAGACACGGCTTCAAAAGCAGTTGGGCCAAAGACACTGCTAAAGTGAGACATGATTTTCGGTGTTAATTTTTCTGCTCAACAGCTAAAGGTGCGAGCATTTTAACATCAATAAATCATTAACACCTTCATCTTCACACATTAGTAAAATGACTGTGATAAAGTGAGGCCACAGACGGCCATCTTGTGCCAGGTTGTTATTGTCTCCAACTCTCTTGGCAGCCGCTAAAGTGCCGTGTGAAAAAACTCTTGTTCAGATGCTGTATATTTTCATTTAAGAACGTTGTATTGTGTGTGCGGTTTGAACAACGGCGAATGATTTGTATTAAACTGTAAAAGGGGCATTTAGGATATTATAAATGTAGTTCAACTTAAAACGTCAAATAAATAAATTATGTAGACTAGGGATGTAAATCTGTGACCGTTTAACCGGGCAACGCCACAGCGTTTACCGCCGCAGCGTTTACCGCGTTTACCGTCACAGCGTTTACCGCCGCAGCGTTTACCGCGTTTACCGTCACAGCGTTTACCGCCGCAGCGTTTACCGCGTTTACCGTTACAGCGTTTACCGGTCAACACTGTGGGTTAAAAAAAAGAAAAGGGGAGGAGGGGGTCTTCTAATAACGCTTTTTTTAAGACCTATTCAGACGGTGCCAAGTGAACGATGTATTGTATAAACTCCGGGCCGACTTTCATGCTGCGCACACACACACATACACACACACACATACACATTCACGCACACACACACATGCACGCACACACATACACATGCACGCACACACACATACATGCACGCACATACACACACACACACATGCACGCACAAACACACACACACACATACACATGCACGCACAAACACACATACACATTCACGCACACACACACATGCACGCACACACATACACATGCACGCACACACACATACATGCACGCACATACACACACACACACGCACATACACACACACACACATACACATGCACGCACAAACACACATACACACACACACATACACATGCACGCACACACACACATGTACGCACACACATACACATGCACGCACACACACATACAAACACACACACACATACACACACGCATACACATGCACGCATACATATGCACACACACATACACATGCACGCATACACACACACAAACACACTCCGCCGTTACTTTTTCGCCAAAGTTGCACACTGGAGCGAAAATATTTTTTTCATCCTTAATATAGACATAGAAAAAAAATACTAACAACATCACGGTAAACTCAGATCCAATGGTTTCCGTTAACCCCACCCACCTGTTCACGGAATCAATGGAGCAAATCCAGACCTTAGTACAAATGAAATTCGTACTATGGTGTGGTAAGACCAGGCTAGTTTGTTTGAGTCCTTGATTCATTTTACAGATGCGTATACCAAGTGGCAGGGCGCTACATCACAGCTGGGCCAGAGGAGGCGGGACTTCCAAACAGGCTCAAATATATTCCACTCAAAGGTCAATGCTCAGATGAAGAACAACGAGATCCACTCCTTTCACTGCCGACAAAATGATACCGACCAATCCGAGCAAATGCCACAAGGTCAAAGGTCCGTGTTTGATATTCTTTACAAGACTGAGGCAACATGTGTTTAATGCTACATTTATTGAACCAAAGTGTAGCGTCCGACCATCGCACAAAGACTTTGCGCTTTACGTTGTGTTTAAAGGTCCCATAATGCGCTTTTCTTCATGTTTCACAGTCAATCCTATGCACATGTGTGATAATAATTTAGACTGATACACCACAAAACACTTAAAACTTGTGAGATTCGAGGCATCTATGTCTCAGGGACCAGGTCTGTAAACTAGCTGTTAGCTACACGGCCTATGAACACAGCATCGGTTCCTGTAACAATGCTTCTTGTTCTGGCCCGATCAAATAAACACATAATAATAATAATCTCTTACATAGAGGTCACGTGACCTCGGCTCAAACAGGCTGATCCAGACTTTGAAGATTCTTTTAATAAGACAAAGTAAAGAAAGTTGTGGTTGTTGTTGCCGGATGTGGTCAGTCTGACACATGTCATAGATCCGTCAGACTGACCACGTCGTATCCATCTTTTGTATTTATGTTCTTCTGTTCCTACTATTGTTGCAGTGTCCCAGTCCATGACTCATTCTAGGCAATGGGGGTGAAGTGATTTGCCCAAGGACACAACGACAGCAGACAGTGGGAGTCGATGGTGAGAGTCCTGTGGGGGGGCTGACAATATGATTGGTCAGATTCATTATATTTGCCATTTGCAGTAAAACCATATTGGAATACATTTTCAAAGGTCCCATGAATAAAACAAGAAGTGTGTAGGAAAATATTTCTGCCCACAACTTGAAAAGTTACTGGAAAAATATACATTGCCAAAAGTGACACAAAATAAGTCAAACATTTGCTGAAATTTGGCAAAATCTGGTGTTTTAATCTGAGCACGTTTTGACGGATTTTCACTCTAAGAATAATATTGATTTTTTTTTTACCCACATTTGTTTCTTCTACTTGTCTTCTTCTCGTCCCACTGAGAATGGCCGGAGTTTAGACCAGCCTACATGGTTCACTGGTACGTACCATGTGGACTCCAGTGTTTTCCCAGTCGCTCCGAGGGCCTCCCCACCGGCCTCCCCGCCTGCCCCCCGCCTTCCTGCGCCGCCAGCGGGATAAATGATCCAAACCCGGCCACATTGCTACAACTGATTATAGTTTATTTAGAGCAGGCGCGGCGTGGAGCGGCGTGGGGCGGCGTGGGGCTGCGGGGCCATTCTTCATCACGGCAGGCTGATAATAAGAGGCCCCACACACGGCCGGGCCCTCGGGGGACTGCTCTGAGTGTGTGTCGCCACCGGAGCTCGGCCCGGCACTGCTGAGGATTGGGAGCGTTTGTGAATTAATTTTGGATGAGCTCAGACGGGATTTGAACTTAATAATGCCTCAGATGTACTCCCCGCCTCCCTGTCCTGTTTGAAGCTGTGTGTGTGTGTGTGTGGACAGTATGTATGTAGGTTTGTGTGTGTGCGGAGTGTGTGTGGATAGTCTCTGTGTGTGTGCGGATAGCGGGTGTGTGTATATGCAAGTTGTGTTTGTGTGTGTGTAGACAGTATGTACTGTATGTAGGTTTGTGTGTGTGTGGATAGTGTGTGTGTGTGTGTGCGTGCGGATAATCTATGCTGAGTGTGTGTGTGTGCGGATAGTTGAGTGTGTGTCTGCGGATAGTGTATGCTGAATGTGTGTGTGTGCGGATAGTGTGTGTGTGCGTGCGGATAGTGTATGTGTGCGGATTGTGCGTGTGCGGATAGTGTGCGTGCTTGGATTGTGTGCATGTGTGTAGACAGTATGTGTGTAGATGTGTATGCGCTTGGATTGTGTGTAGTATGTCTGTAGGTGTGTGTGTGTGTGTGTAAAGCACATATCGGGGCGGACCTCTCTGTCTCATTCATCAGTTGTTGTTGGCTGTCGTGTGATTCGTCGCTGAAAGGACCCGCGGCTCATTAATTATGCCTGAAATATTAAAACGACTCAATCAAACATGAATTATGAATCCATTTGGCCCAAGATCATCTCAGATAAACATTTACATCATCTGTGTGCGACCGTGACAACACACACACACCGTCTATATCATCTGTGTGCGACCGTGACAACACACACACACAGTCTATATCATCTGTGTGCGACTGTGACAACACACACACACAGTCTATATCATCTGTGTGCGACTGTGACAACACACACACACCGTCTATATCATCTGTGTGCGACCGTGACAACACACACACACCGTCCATATCATCTGTGTGCGACCGTGACAACACACACACACAGTCTATATCATCTGTGTGCGACCGTGACAACACACACACACAGTCTATATCATCTGTGTGCGACTATGACAACACACACACACAGTCTATATCATCTGTGTGCGACTGTGACAACACACACACACCGTCTATATCATCTGTGTGCGACCGTGACAACACACACACACCGTCCATATCATCTGTGTGCGACTGTGACAACACACACACACAGTCTATATCATCTGTGTGCGACTGTGACAACACACACACACCGTCTATATCATCTGTGTGCGACCGTGACAACACACACACACCGTCCATATCATCTGTGTGCGACTGTGACAACACACACTCACCGTCCATATCATCTGTGTGCGACTGTGACAACACACACACACCGTCCATATCATCTGTGTGCGACCGTGACAACACACACACACCGTCTACATCATCTGTGTGCGACTGTGACAACACACACACACCGTCTATATCATCTGTGTGCGACTGTGACAACACACACACACCGTCTATATCATCTCAATCAATCAATCAATCAAATTTTATTTATAAAGCGCTTTTCATACATAAGATGCAACACAAAGTGCTTTACAGATTGGTTAAAAACAATCCCGCCGGCCCAAGACCCCTCCCCCAGACCACCCAACAGACCCCCCCCAAACCACAGACAAACACACACACACGCGCTCATGAACACTCATACACACACACACACACACACACACACACCAGTAAAACAATAAAAACATGATGAGAGACTTGGCAGGGTTCAGATGCAACCAGCTGAAAAAGCGTCATCCAAGGAGCCGTCTGCACCAGGAGCAGAGAGCCGCCCGTAGCCACAGGGGACGACACAGGACCCAGAGGAGACATGAAACCGAGGCCCCAGGCCCCCACCAGGCCCAAGAGTCCGACCCCCGCAGCCACACCGACCACTGCTCCCGGTGCAGAGGGCTCCTCCAGAGGAAACACTGGGTACACTAAAAACAATACAATAAGTAAAACACTAAAATGTGAGACTAAAAGGAACACACAATACATGAATAATAGCAATAGCAATATAATAAATAATAAATAATAAAAGATAAATAGAATGGAATAATAAAAACTAATCAAAAGCTACTCTAAAAAGGTGCGTCTTGAGCCTACTTTTAAAAATATGAACGTTCTCTGTGGCCCTGAGCTCCTCCGGCAGACTGTTCCAGAGACGGGGGCCGTAGTGCTGGAAAGATGCCTCGCCGTGAGTGTGTGTCCTGACTTTGGGGATGGTTAGGAGTCTGCTGCCGGAGGAGCGCAGGGGCCGGGAAGGTTCATAGGATAAAAGCAAATCTGAAAGATAAGAAGGCCCAAGACCATTAAGACATTTAAAAACCATTAAAAGAACCTTAAAATCGATTCTGAAACACACGGGGAGCCAATGCAGCGATTTTAAAACCGGTGTAATGTGGTCCCGCCCCCTGGTCTTAGTCAGGACACGTGCGGCCGAGTTTTGGAGTAATTGAAGACTTGCAATGTTCTTTTTGGGAAGACCAGAGAGCAGGGCATTACAATAGTCAATGCGACTGGTGATAAAAGCATGCATCAGCGTCTCCGTGTTGCCCCGAGAGAGAATGGGGCGGACTCTGGCGATGTTCTTTAGATGATAAAAACCTATTTTTGTGATACTCTTGATGTGAGGAATAAAAGTCAGCTCAGAGTCAAAGATTACGCCCAGATTTTTCACTTGTGATGATGGATTAAAAGAGTGTGATTGGAGTTTTGATAAAAGTTTCTCTCTCTGGGCCTCAGGACCGATGACTAAAACCTCAGTTTTGTCCTGGTTAAGCTGGAGAAAGTTTTCTGCCATCCAGGATTTCAGGTCTAAAATGCAGTTAAAAAGAGCATCCATTGGCCTGGTGTCATCAGGAGACATGGAGATGTACAGCTGAGTATCATCTGCATAACTGTGGAAGTTAATTCCATGTCTCCTGACGACACCGCCAAGAGGGAGCATGTACAGGTTAAAAAGGACTGGACCTAAAATGGAACCCTGGGGCACACCACATGTGATTTTATGGACCTGAGAGGAGCAGGTATCCAAACTTACCATGAAGGATCTGTCTGTTAAATAAGAAGTGAACCATTTGTGGACAGCACCAGAGAGGCCGAGGTGTTGTAGGCGTGATAAAAGAATTGTGTGGTCTACTGTATCAAAGGCAGCGCTAAGATCCAGTAGAACCAACACAGTCACCTTTTTGAAATCATAACTTAGTCTAAGATCGTTTAAAATCTTTAAAAGAGCAGTCTCTGTGCTGTGGTTCACCCTAAAACCTGATTGAAATTTCTCTAAAATTTGCTGCTGATCTAAAAAGGCATTGAGCTGGGTAAAAACAAGTTTTTCTAAAATTTTGCTTAAAAATGGTAAGTTGGATACCGGTCTGTAGTTGTTAAAATCATTAAAATCTAAATTGCTCTTCTTCAGAAGGGGTCTCACCACAGCCGCTTTGAAGGCTGCAGGAAAGACCCCAGTCTGAAGAGAGCAATTCATCAGGTTTAAAAGCTCCTCTCTAAAAGATTCATAAAATGACTTAAAAAATGGAGTGGGGACTGGATCTAAAAGACATGTGGTGGGCCTCACTGAGGAGAAAACTTTATCAAGCCTCTCAGCATCAACCAGGACAAAACTGTCCAGTGTTTCCTCTGGCGAAGACAAACAATCAGATGTGTTAAAAACAGTAGTGCGGTTGGATAAAATGTTACATCTGATTGTATTTATCTTCCCCGTGAAGTGGACTGCAGAATCCTCACAGAGGGAGTCTGTGGGGGTTAAAAGAGACATGCTAAAATCAGGGTTTAAAATGGTGTCGATGGTTGAAAAAAGGATTTTTGGATTATTTTTGTTCTGGCTGATTAGATTTGCAAAGTATTTGTTCTTATGATTTCTAATTGTGTAATTGTATGCTTTTTGATTGTTTTTATATATTTCGTAGTTGATTGTTGTTTTATTTTTCCTCCATCTTCGTTCTGCCACCCTGCACTCTTGTTTCATTTTGCGTACTTCTTCATTTCTCCATGGGGGTGCAGATTTTGTTTTTATGATTTTTGTTTTTAAAGGAGCCACCTGATCCAACGCAGAACTAAGTCTACTGTTAAAATCATTTGCTATAAAATCACAGGGGGCAGGTAAAACCAAGTGGGGAGTGTTGTTTAGGATGTCGATAAAATTTGCAGCCACTTCAGGGGTTAGATGTCGCTTCCTCACGGTTCTCACAGAGGTCTCACGCTGTATAAAACCAGTGATGTTAAAAAACACACAGTAGTGGTCCGAGACAGCCAAGTCGACAACAGAGGACACATCCGCAGTCAGGCCATAGGTAATGACCAGGTCGAGGGTGCGTCCCCTGTTGTGTGTTGGCTGTCTGACGTGTTGGGTAAAATCCATGTAATTAAGAACATCTAAGAAATCTAGGGTAAAATTGTCAGAGGGATTGTCAATGTGTATGTTAAAATCACCGGTTAAAATTATCATATTGTAAGAATTGTGTAACTGTGATAAAAACGCTGAGAATTCAATAATAAAAAGGCTGCACTTTTTAGGTGGCCTATAAATAATTACTGTTAAAATTTTGGGGTTGCTAAAAACAAGAGAGTGATACTCAAAACTTGAGTATTGGTTAAAAACAATAAGTTTGGTGGCCAGGGTGTTACTGCATATTGAGGCTGTGCCGCCACCTCTCTTTCCTTCTCTTGTTTTAAAAGCAAAGTTAAAATTGGGGGGGGAGGCCTCTGTAAGAACAGCCGGAGCATCCGGACCCAGCCACGTCTCAGTTAAAAACATACCATCCAGCTCGTGTTCTAAAATCAAATCATTAACAGTAAAAGTCTTATTTAAAAGGGAGCGTACATTTAAAAGGGCAAACCTGATGGTAGATGGGTTGTTATTGTTGATGGGGAGTCCATAGTTCGAAGTGGGGGGAGCAGAGGATGAGAGAGGGCAGGGGGAAACAGTGATGAGGTTGGTGAAGGACGGTTTCCTGGGTATGGACGGTCTGTAGGGGCGGGGTCTGGACAAAACTGTAATTTTGTGCTGGGGAAGAGAGCAGGGGTTGATGCTGGGGCACAGACGGGCAGGAGGGATGTGGGATGTGGGGGTGGGTTGTCAGAGGTATGTAGGATGGATTGGACTGCGTGGGTGATGTTGGAGATCAGGTACCGGTTGCCAAGTGGGTTGATGTGAAGTCCGTCGGGTGTGAAGAAGGGGTAGCGGTTCCAGAACAGATTAAAATTGTCTATAAAACCAAAGTTGTGATGGAGTGATGTTTGATTGAGCCAGGTGTTGAGTGATAAAATCCTGCTAAAACGCTCCCTGCCGCGGTTCATAGTGGGCAGAGGACCGGAGATAAAAACAGTTTTCCCTGAGTTTGATAAAAGGTTAAAAAGATCCTTAAAATGGCGTTTTGTGGTCTCGGATTGGCGGAGTGAAGCGTCATTTGTGCCGACATGAATTATGATCCGGGTTATTGTGGAGGGTGCTGTCTGAAAAAGTGAGGGTAGTTTAATGAGGATGGTGGGGACTGTGGCTCCAGAAAAACAGTGTGTGATGGCATTAAAAAACTTGCAGTGTCTGATAATAGAATCCCCCACCAGGAGCGTGGTTGGTGCAAACAGAGGCCGCGGAGGGGAGGGTGTGACTGGGGTGGGACCTGGTGGAGAGCAGGGGACAGGAGAGCCTTGGGGGGTGCCCGGAGCGGAGCCGCCACGAGCGGCTGTGGAGCAGGGTGGAGGATCCGGAGACCGAACTGACTCCACTGTGGCCGGGTTGGTGGTGGTGGTAGTGTGGGCGAATGTGGGAGGGCCGCGCACCGGGCGGGGGGATCCACCAGGAGGCGAGGTGGCATCTGCGGGGGAACTCCTCGCCGTGCAACAGCGCAGAGACCCCCCCGCGAGTGAGGCAGCGTCCACGGGAAGAGTCCGCGCAATAATGGAGCGCAGACACCCCCCCGCGGGCGAGGCAGCGTCCACGGGAGGACTCTGCGCCGTGATGTAGCGCAGAGACCCCCCCGCGGCCACCTCAGCATAGGACCTGCTCTGTGCAGCGCCTCTGGGGATTCCCTCCGCGTCAGAGCACACGGACCCTCCCACAGCAGGGACAGCGCTCCCGGAGGTATCCTGCGCCACGTTAGGGCACAGAGATCCCCCCGGGGCTTCCCGCAGTTGGTCCTGCGTGACACCCGGAGAGCCCCGCGCTGTTTTAGAGCGTGGGAAGCTCCCCGAGCGTCTGCGCACAGCCTCTTCCACCAACCTGCGACGTGAGGACACTGTGGACGTTCTGTGGTCTCCAGGCTTCTGCTCCGCGCCGCTCTGGGTATGGGCAGCAGGCTCCGGGACCGTAGAGGAGGGACGAGCACCGGGAGGGACAGGAGGAACAGCCGCAACCGGGGAACGTGAGGTGAGGACCGGGGTAGAGCATGATGAGGGGTGAGGACAGGTGATGGGATCCCAAAGAGCAGTGTCGTGGAGTGTGGTAGCGAGCTGTGAATGTCTAAGTACGGAGAGGGATATTTGCTGTGACTGCTTGAATGAGATGTCCATGAAATGTTCCCAGAAGTTTCTCTTTATGTATGAGTTCAGTGGATAGTTGTGTAACACTGCGTTGAAGTTCCTCGGGGGTCATTGCGTTTACTGGTTTGGATGGAAGAATTGAAGCAAGTTGTGATTTGTAGATTTGTCTGTATGAGTTCTCGGGGGGAGCGGCGGTGTCCATGGTGGCGTATGTGGGCAGGCTGGTTACCGCGGTAACTGTTAAAAGGCTGATATACAGTCCAGTTAAAAGTGACAGTAATCCTGTTGTGGCACAACCTGTTAAAATCCGCTTAATCCATCAGTTGTTACGAATAAAAACAGTAATAAAAGCTTAGTTTAAAAAATAAATCCAAAAAGTGTGCAGTTCAAAAAAGGCTCCAAACAAATGCGTCCGCCATCTTGCACATGCGCAGTTTGTGTGCGACCGTGACAACACACACACACCGTCCATATCATCTGTGTGCGACCGTGACAACACACACACACCGTCTATATCATCTGTGTGCGACCGTGACAACACACACACACCGTCTATATCATCTGTGTGCGACTGTGACAACACACACACACACCGTCTATATCATCTGTGTGCGACCGTGACAACACACACACACCGTCTATATCATCTGTGTGCGACTGTGACAACACACACACACCGTCTATATCATCTGTGTGCGACCGTGACAACACACACACACCGTCTATATCATCTGTGTGCGACTGTGACAACACACACACTCCGTCTATATCATCTGTGTGCGACTGTGACAACACACACACACCGTCTATATCATCTGTGTGCGACTGTGACAACACACACACACCGTCTATATCATCTGTGTGCGACCGTGACAACACACACACACCGTCTATATCATCTGTGTGCGACCGTGACAACACACACACACCGTCTATATCATCTGTGTGCGACTGTGACAACACACACACACACCGTCTATATCATCTGTGTGCGACCGTGACAACACACACACACCGTCTATATCATCTGTGTGCGACTGTGACAACACACACACACCGTCTATATCATCTGTGTGCGACCGTGACAACACACACACACCGTCTATATCATCTGTGTGCGACTGTGACAACACACACACTCCGTCTATATCATCTGTGTGCGACTGTGACAACACACACACACCGTCTATATCATCTGTGTGCGACTGTGACAACACACACACACCGTCTATATCATCTGTGTGCGACCGTGACAACACACACACACCGTCTATATCATCTGTGTGCGACTGTGACAACACACACACACACCGTCTATATCATCTGTGTGCGACCGTGACAACACACACACACCGTCTATATCATCTGTGTGCGACTGTGACAACACACACACACCGTCTATATCATCTGTGTGCGACCGTGACAACACACACACACCGTCTATATCATCTGTGTGCGACTGTGACAACACACACACTCCGTCTATATCATCTGTGTGCGACTGTGACAACACACACACACCGTCTATATCATCTGTGTGCGACTGTGACAACACACACACACCGTCTATATCATCTGTGTGCGACCGTGACAACACACACACACCGTCTATATCATCTGTGTGCGACCATGACAACACACACCCTCGCCTCTCAGCAAGAAGGTCCTGGGTTCGAATCCCGGTCGGAACTGGATCTTTCTGAGAGGAGTTTGCATGTTCTACCCGTGCCTGCGTAAGTTTCCTCCAGGTACTCCGGTTTCCCCTACCACTAAAAACATGCACACTAGGTTAAATCCTTCAGCTGTAAAAGTCCTGACCAAGCCGCTGTTACTACGGCGACCACTGCTCCTGACGTAAGCCTTAGCGGCACGGTGGCTGAGTGGATAGCACTCTCGCCTCTCATCAAGAAGGTCCTGGGTTCGAATCCCGGTCGGACCAGGGCCTTTCTGAGTGGAGTTTGCATGTTCTCCCCGTGTCTGCGTAGGTTTCCTCCGGGTACTCCGGTTTCCCCTACCACTAAAAATATGTCCAATAGTTCTGGCATGCGCCTCCTGTACTGGCCCCGCTCCCATCTCTGTGTGGAGTGAGAGACAAATGCCCAAAATTAACAATTGTAAACTGCTTTGAGACTCAGATCTGCAGTGAAAAGGCGGTATATAAATAAAAACTTACTTACTTACTTAGCGACATCAGGATGGGTCAAATGCAGAGGATTGAATTGCCCTACGGGGACCTTTACCTGTGGATGTGGTGAGCCATATTCCTGCTCGTCAAAACACACTCATGCTACAAATGAGAAATTAAATCCCAAATAGCTGATGTGCACTATTAGTATTTTTTTGTTTTATACGAAATGGAAAGTAAAGCGCCCGTTCAAACCACATCCGCAATTTGTTCTTTTTTGTCTTGAGTAAAGTCCAATCAGTCCACCTCTGGGAGTGACCTGGAGAGATCTATATCTGTCGTGCGAACCATGACAGCCATGATGACGGGACAAGTGGACCATCAGTCGTGGTTAGTGACCCGCCCGTACGCCGCCAGGAGAGGGCACGGCCAATCACACCCAGCCTCTCAATCTCTTACCCATTCTTTCCCTTCAATTCAGCCTGTGTCCACATCCTTATCCCCCCTTCTGTGTTAACATGGTGTGTGTGTGTGTGTGTGTGTGCGTTGCCATGGTGCCGTCACCATTTCCCATCACGGGCGTAGCAACAAACACACAGCACAATCACCTTTTAATTCCCTTTGATGTATGACTCTGGCAGGAACCAATTTTAGCGGCCAGAATTGGGCCCTAAATCACCAAATCACCCGCTTTCACCCGATCAGCCATACATCAAGCGGCTCCGGGAAAGAGGAGGTAGAGGCGAAAGCAAACATCCCGACGTGGTGTATGTAAATAAGGGGTTTGCGGCTCAGAGCGGACATAAATATTGTACTGAGAGGAGTGAGGGATTGGTCTCTGCGTGACTCTGAACACGGAGGTTTTTATCGCACAGATGTCTTTAAGTGCTCAGGTTTTCACTTCATCTTTATTTAAAGTGTGTGCATGATTTACCAGACTTAGCGCAGGCTGCGGGGTAATTACAATAACTTTCTAACGGTAATAAGTGGGATTTTTTTTTTTATAAAGAGGAGAAAACTGAGGCACAAAAAGTTAAAAAGCAAAAACCACCACAGTGCCGAGTGTGGTACTGTCCCTTTAAGAGACTGTCACATGACCAGGAGGTATAAGAGCAGCTCAGCAGTCACTTCACTGTTTTAAAGCAGCACATTTCCTGAAGAAGGGAGGCCGAAAGGTGTTTTTGACTTTTTAGCCATGTAATATTAAAGGTTTTTTAACTTTGACTCTTCTCACTTTTACCTCAGTTTTCTCCTCTTTATGATTTTCTGAAGAGCTCCTGAGAAACATTTTCACGACACAAAAGACTCCAGCATCTTTGCTTTTTGAATTTGGGATTTTTCTCTGTAGTGTTTGAGGCGGGGCTCAGTTCTTGACTTTGGAAAAATGTCCAAGTTTCTCAAAATTCAATGGTTCAATTATTGTCATTTTGAAGTGATTTTTTTATATACAGACTTACAGTACATATAACATAAAACACACACAGACTATTATTAGTAACACATTCCAACGTTTGCTTTTAGGTTGACATTTCAAATCTGTCCAGGGACAACGGAGGAAAAATGACCTTGTGGCTAATTCTGGTACATTTACAGTAATGTTCATTAATGTACACTGTCCCTGTCAAATAAACAAATAAATAAATCAAACAATAAAAAGGTTCCAAATGTCCTCAGCTTTTGAACAGACACAATTTTAATGTTAGAAGCAGAGGCGATCTCAAATCAAAGTCCCAAGTCCATGCGTTAAATGTATAATAATAATAATAATAATAATATAATAATAATGCATCAGTTTTATACAGTGCTTTTCAGGACACTCAGACTCTTCACATGTCATTATTCTTTCTCTCCATACACGGTGGAGATAAACTACTGTAGCCACAGCTGCCCTGGGGCACACTGACAGAAGCGAGGCAACCAGTCTGTGCCGTCGGCCCCTCCCACCACCACCAACCATTCACACACACACCAGACTCATTCCTTTTTCTCACATTAAAAACGTCATCGACCGTGTGGCAGCGTCTAAAACCCTTTCCTCCCGTCGGCGCCGTCCGTTCCCGTCCTTCTGCAGAATCTAATCTACAGCGTAACACTCATACAAGCCGTGTCATGCTTTGTGATAGCGCTCTGTACAAATAAACCGGCCCGGTGAGATTATCTGGGTTGGACTGTATTTCACCAGAATGCGCCGGTGTGTTATCAGAATCCACATTGTGCCGCAGAAATAGCCGCTTGGAGCTGAGTTTGATCGGATCGAGGAGAAGAAAGGCCCGGTACACACTCCACACACTCCGGCCCGACGCCTTTCATCCGGCCGTGGTTAAAGACACACACTCCGGCCCGACGCCTTTCATCCGGCCGTGGTTAAAGACACACACTCCATTCTCCCGCTCCACTACACACAAGGGCACTTCCTCGGCTAATTACATTTTGCCGGTTGCTATCTTTAGCCGTGCCCTGGTTCATCCCGTGATTAGTGCTGATTGCCACGATCGAGGTTTGTCAGGCCGCTTTGTGTGTGGTGCAATAAATCGTCAGGAAAATAAGTGTAAAATAAACTAAAAATCAATGTGCGGGTGGGTTTGTCGATTTCCTGCTGAGTTTGTGTGTTGGTTATAAATGTTTGTGTGTTGGTTATAAATGTGTGTGTGTTGGTTATAAATGTGTGTGTGTGTGTGTGTGTGTGTGTGTTGGTTATAAATGTGTGTGTGCGTGTGTGTTGGTTATAAATGTGTGTGTGTGTGTGTGTTGGTTATAAATGTGCGTGTGTGTTGGTTATAAATGTGTGTGTGTGTGTTGGTTATAAATGTGTGTGTGTGTGTTGGTTATAACCCCGCTTACCCCAAAAAATGGGGTAAGCGGTTTTCTAATACTCTAAAAGATAATAATAATAATAAAATGCATAACTATTATTATTATTATACTAACCCTAAGTGCTTTTCAAACCACCCAAGGACACTGTACAAACATGGTTAAAAACAAGTAAAATTTAGAATTATTAGCATTAAAAACAACAAGACAGAACTGGACAAAGGTTTTGGGGTGACTGGTCATGTGGCTGGTCATGTGGCTGGTCATGTGGCTGGTCATGTGGTTGGTCATGTGGCTGGTCATGTGGCTGGTCATGTGGCTGGTCATGTGGCTGGTCATGTGGCTGGTCATGTGGTTGGTCATGTAGCTGGTCATGTGGTTGGTCATGTGGCTGGTCATGTGGTTGGTCATGTGGTTGGTCATGTAGCTGGTCATGTGGTTGGTCATGTAGCTGGTCATGTGGCTGGTCATGTAGTTGGTCATGTGGCTGGTCATGTGGTTGGTCATGTGGTTGGTCATGTGGCTGGTCATGTGGCTGGTCATGTAGTTGGTCATGTGGTTGGTCATGTGGTTGGTCATGTGGCTGGTCATGTGGTTGGTCATGTAGCTGGTCATGTGGCTGGTCATGTGGCTGGTCATGTGGCTGGTCATGTGGCTGGTCATGTGGCTGGTCATGTAGTTGGTCATGTGGTTGGTCATGTGGCTGGTCATGTGGCTGGTCATGTAGCTGGTCATGTGGCTGGTCATGTAGTTGGTCATGTGGCTGGTCATGTGGCTGGTCATGTGGCTGGTCATGTAGTTGGTCATGTGGCTGGTCATGTAGTTGGTCATGTGGCTGGTCATGTAGTTGGTCATGTGGCTGGTCATGTGGCTAGTCATGTGGCTGGTCATGTGGCTGGTCATGTGGCTGGTCATGTGGCTGGTCATGTGGTTGGTCATGTGGTTGGTCATGTGGCTGGTCATGTGGCTGGTCATGTGGCTGGTCATGTGGTTGGTCATGTGGCTGGTCATGTAGCTGGTCATGTGGTTGGTCATGTGGCTGGTCATGTGGCTGGTCATGTGGTTGGTCATGTGGCTGGTCATGTGGCTGGTCATGTGGTTGGTCATGTGGCTGGTCATGTGGCTGGTCATGTGGTTGGTCATGTGGCTGGTCATGTGGTTGGTCATGTGGCTGGTCATGTAGCTGGTCATGTAGCTGGTCATGTGGCTGGTCATGTAGTTGGTCATGTGGCTGGTCATGTAGTTGGTCATGTGGCTGGTCATGTAGTTGGTCATGTGGCTGGTCATGTGGTTGGTCATGTGGCTGGTCATGTGGCTGGTCATGTGGTTGGTCATGTGGTTGGTCATGTGGTTGGTCATGTGGTTGGTCATGTGGTTGGTCATGTGGTTGGTCATGTGGCTGGTCATGTAGTTGGTCATGTGGCTGGTCATGTAGCTGGTCATGTGGTTGGTCATGTGGCTGGTCATGTGGCTGGTCATGTGGCTGGTCATGTGGCTGGTCATGTGGTTGGTCATGTGGCTGGTCATGTGGTTGGTCATGTGGCTGGTCATGTAGCTGGTCATGTGGCTGGTCATGTGGTTGGTCATGTGGTTGGTCATGTGGCTGGTCATGTGGCTGGTCATGTGGCTGGTCATGTGGTTGGTCATGTGGCTGGTCATGTGGCTGGTCATGTGGCTGGTCATGTGGCTGGTCATGTGGTTGGTCATGTGGCTGGTCATGTGGTTGGTCATGTGGTTGGTCATGTGGTTGGTCATGTGGTTGGTCATGTGGTTGGTCATGTGGTTGGTCATGTGGCTGGTCATGTAGTTGGTCATGTGGCTGGTCATGTAGCTGGTCATGTAGTTGGTCATGTAGTTGGTCATGTGGCTGGTCATGTGGCTGGTCATGTAGCTGGTCATGTGGCTGGTCATGTGGCTAGTCATGTGGCTGGTCATGTGGCTGGTCATGTGGCTGGTCATGTGGCTGGTCATGTGGCTTGTCATGTGGCTGGTCATGTGGTTGGTCATGTGGCTGGTCATGTAGCTGGTCATGTGGTTGGTCATGTGGCTGGTCATGTGTTTGGTCATGTGGTTGGTCATGTGGCTGGTCATGTAGCTGGTCATGTGGTTGGTCATGTGGCTGGTCATGTGGCTGGTCATGTGGTTGGTCATGTGGTTGGTCATGTGGCTGGTCATGTGGCTGGTCATGTGGCTGGTCATGTGGTTGGTCATGTGGCTGGTCATGTGGCTGGTCATGTGGTTGGTCATGTGGCTGGTCATGTGGTTGGTCATGTGGCTGGTCATGTAGCTGGTCATGTGGCTGGTCATGTAGCTGGTCATGTGGCTGGTCATGTAGTTGGTCATGTGGCTGGTCATGTAGTTGGTCATGTGGCTGGTCATGTAGTTGGTCATGTGGCTGGTCATGTGGCTAGTCATGTGGCTGGTCATGTGGCTGGTCATGTGGCTGGTCATGTGGCTGGTCATGTGGCTGGTCATGTGGCTGGTCATGTGGCTGGTCATGTGGTTGGTCATGTGGCTGGTCATGTGGCTGGTCATGTGGCTGGTCATGTGGTTGGTCATGTGGTTGGTCATGTGGCTGGTCATGTGGCTGGTCATGTGGTTGGTCATGTGGCTGGTCATGTGGCTGGTCATGTGGCTGGTCATGTGGCTGGTCATGTGGTTGGTCATGTGGCTGGTCATGTGGCTGGTCATGTGGTTGGTCATGTGGTTGGTCATGTGGTTGGTCATGTGGTTGGTCATGTGGTTGGTCATGTGGCTGGTCATGTAGTTGGTCATGTGGCTGGTCATGTAGCTGGTCATGTAGTTGGTCATGTGGCTGGTCATGTGGCTGGTCATGTAGCTGGTCATGTAGCTGGTCATGTGGCTAGTCATGTGGCTGGTCATGTGGCTGGTCATGTGGCTGGTCATGTGGCTGGTCATGTGGCTAGTCATGTGGCTGGTCATGTGGTTGGTCATGTGGCTGGTCATGTGGCTGGTCATGTGGTTGGTCATGTGGTTGGTCATATGGCTGGTCATGTGGTTGGTCATGTGGCTGGTCATGTAGCTGGTCATGTGGCTGGTCATGTAGCTGGTCATGTGGTCGGTCATGTAGCTGGTCATGTGACTGGTCATGTGACTGGTCATGTAGCTGGTCATGTGGTCGGTCATGTAGCTGGTCATGTGACTGGTCATGTGGCTGGTCATGTGGTTGGTCATGTGGCTGGTCATGTGGCTGGTCATGTGGCTGGTCATGTGGTTGGTCATGTGACTGGTCATGTGGCTGGTCATGTGGGGGGGGGTGCTGGTGGTTATGTGTCAATCTAAAACTAAGATATAAACTCAGATGTTCTGATAAACTCCAAATCAAAGGTGCTTTGCTCAAATGATGAAGTGTTGTTTTGACTCAATATTTTACATTAATCCACCGTAAAAGATGAGGAACAGAGCGACATTATTGTAAGAATCCAGTTTTAGATCAGGTTTAGAATATTCTTGAACGTCTCATAATCTTCATCAACAAGAAAATTGTGAGTCCATCGTTAATATTTATGTATTTTCTAATTGTAGAGAAAAAACTCACCTCATGTTGAGCCAAATCTGCTCCAATCTAAAAAATACCACATGCCGCTGCTTCCCGCTCCTCACAGTGTGTGTTGTCTATTGATTAACTAATTGTGTGCCATCCTTCACGTTTAAGGTTTTCTGTGTGTCTGAGGACCCCCCCCCCCCCCCCCCTACACACACACACACACACTCTGGTCTCTCTTTGGTCTCTCTTTGGTCTCTCTCTGCTCTCTCTCTGGTCTCTCTCTCTCTGGTCTCTCTCTGGCTTCTCTCTGGTCTCTCTCTGGTCTCTTTCGTCTCTCTCTCTCTGGTCTCTCGCTCTCTGGTCTCTCTCTGGCCTCTCTCTGGTCTCTCTCTCTGGTGTCTCTCTCGCTCTCTCTCTCTGGTCTCTCTCTCGCTCTGGTCTCTCTCTCTGGTCTCTCTCTCTGGTGTCTCTCTCGCTCTCTCTCTCTGGTCTCTCGCTCTGGTCTCTTTCGTCTCTCTGGTCTCTCTCTAGTCTCTCTCTCTGGCCTCTCTCTGGTGTCTTTCGTCTCTCTGGTCTCTCGCTCTCTCTCTCTGGTCTCTTTCGTCTCTCTGGTCTCTCGCTCTCTCTCTCTCTGGTCTCTCTCTCTCTTTGGTCTCTCTCTGGTCTCTTTCGTCTCTCTGGTCTCTTGCTCTCTCTCTCTGGTCTCTCTCTCTCTTTGGTCTCTCTCTGGTCTCTCTCTGGTCTCTCTCTCTCTCTGGTCTCTCGCTCTCTCTCTGGTCTCTCTCTCTCTGGTCTCTCTCTCTCTGGCCTCTCTCTCTCTGGTCTCTCTGGTCTCTCTCTCTCTCTGGTCTCTCTGGTCTCTCTCTCTCTCTGGCCTCTCTCTCTCTCTGGTCTCTCTCTCTGGTCTCTCTCTCTCTGGCCTCTCTCTGGTGCGGTGCTACTAAGCTCTCTGCTTCAGCCCACTCATTAATACTGCTCAAATAATTAAATATATAAAACATACAGTAATTATAATGAATGAAGTCATGGTTCTTACCAAACCCAAAGTGGTCGGCCCGTGAGACGTAAGAGAATTACGAACTGAATTCTCATTTCAGAAGTTCCTGATATACTCTGCACACACACACACACACACACACACACACACACACACACACACACACACACACACACACACACACACACACACACACACACACACACACACACACACACACACAAGGAGGGACATCGCCATGTGCTTTGTGTCTCACTGTCTCCTCATCCTTTTCACTCTTTCACACCTCGCCCGGGCCACTACACGCGCACACACACCACACCGGCCGCTACACAAACACACACACACCACACCGGCCGCTACACGCACTGACACTGGAATAAAGGTCCAAATGGGATCTTGGGATCATCCTCTGAGCTCTGTTGCATGATTGTTAAATTAGCTTCATTGCTACATAGCTAATCTGGCATGGAATTAGGATTTTAGGGCTCTCATCTGAGCTGAACCACGGTGACTGGAGAGAGGGCATCCAGAGGTGGGACAAAGTCATTGTTTAGCAAGTCACAAGTCAGTCTCAATTCATTGCCCTCAAGTCCCGAGTCAAGTCACGAGTCAAGACAGGCAAGTCCCGAGTCGAGTCCAAGTCAAAGGCCAACAAATCTCAAGTCAGTCCCAAGTCCTACGGTTTGACTTTCGAGTCCTCTCGAGTCTTTTTGACCGCGATTTGTTTCTTGTTGGTCTCCACGTACTTAGGAATCGTTTTGCTGGTGCATTCTCGTTGGTCTCTGACCCATGGACTAACAGTTTGTTCCATGTGGTTGGCTGCTGGTAAATCAAAACTATGTTGTGCCAGATGCAGGCTCAGTTACACATGCACAGACCACACATAAAATCAGAGCAGTCCGTGTCAACATACTTTTTATCTTTGGGGTTTTTAATGGGAAGTAGCAAGTGCAGCATATATGAATATGAGTATTGGGCTAGGACCTGTATCTATATAATCAGTTTAATGTCCATAGTGGTTATTGTTCCAAAGGACTGAAGGGACCAATGGAGGGGAAGGACCCCGGCCTGTATGAACTGGACCAGCATTAGTAATATCTCATAATTACCAATATATCATTACATAATAAAATGTCTCATATAAATTAATTCAATCAGTCAAAGTACTGATTCTCATATCAATGCACCATAAACAATAGTGGAAATATTAATCTAGCTTAGTGCACATAATCAAAACAACTATCTAATGTATGCAAACTTTAGCAGGAGGAGCACAGCAAAAACATACTCATAATAATAGGCCTCGGCGCCCACACAGAAAAATATAAGAAAGAGCCAACAGAGCAGCGCAGGCTAGCGCTAGTTTGACTCACCAGTTCCTCTTTAAAACACGGCACAGAGTGTGACAACTGCGTCGATTCAATTGTATGAGGCGCCTGTAGTGAAAGCATATCAATTACGGTTTGTAGAACAAAATATGACGTTAGGTCGCGATAAATACCTGCAGCTCGCTCATTTCCAGCTCCCCTAGACAACACACCCACCGGTGAATGCAGTCCGCTTGTTTAGGGAAGTGTTGCTGCGCGAACTGCCTGGAACTCACGTTCGAACTCTCGCGCGAGCGCTACAACTACCGCGAGGCTTTGTTTCTTCAGAGACGGCATAGATAGAAAGAGAGATGCGGAGAAAGGTAAAAATGGCCCGGGTTACGCAAGTCTTTGCAAGTCAATTGGCGCAAGTCCAAGTGAAAGTCAGAGTCATTGATGTTAAAGTCCAAGTCGAGTTGCAAGTCTTTTTATATTTGGTCAAGTCGAGTCTAAAGTCATCAAAATCATGACTCGAGTCCACACCTCTGAGGGCATCGCAGCGGTCTCTCAATGGCCTGACACAGAAAACCATGCTCAAACAAAAGCGTTTTTTCTGTCTCCAGTCTTGAATCAGAGACACTTTGGATTGGTCGACTGCTGCGTGTTCTGCCCTAGCTCCCTCCAGAACATTTGATTTAATTGCCTTGGCAGATGGAATACTGTTTTTTTCTTTTTCCTATGATCAAAATGGATTGAAAGGTCTCTGCTGATGTCTATGTTCCACTGATCCTCCACCACACGACACCGGAGTGAGCTGAGTGGATTCACGCTGAGCTGTTTTCATTTGGCTTGAGTAGGTCTGACTTCAGATGAGCTCCCCGTCTGTGTGGTCAATACTGAGCACCTAAACGCCAGGAGGTGGGGACACGACACAGACAGAAACAGTTCACTATTGATTTGGTGTTAGCTCAGAGCACCTGCTGATAACAGTAGTGTCCAGGATGGTCCACAGCTGCAGGTCCGGTCCACAGCTGCAGGCCCCGTCCACAGCTGCAGGCCCGGTCCACAGCTGCGACCCGGTCCACGGCTGCAGGCCCGGTCCACAGCTGCGACCCGGTCCACGGCTGCAGGCCCGGTCCACAGCTGCAGGCCCGGTCCACAGCTGCAGGCCCGGTCCACAGCTGCGACCCGGTCCACAGCTGCAGGCCCGGTCCACAGCTGCAGGCCCGGTCCACAGCTGCAGGCCCGGTCCACAGCTGCAGGCCCGGTCCACAGCTGCGACCCGGTCCACAGCTGCAGGCCCGGTCCACAGCTGCAGGCCCAGTCCATACCACGCTTTGTTATATAAAAAGATAAAGATGAATGGCTGCTTAAAGAGCGACTAAACACCTGTGCCCAGCCTGACTCCGCCCACATGAAGATTTGAAAATTTTCTCTAAAAAGGGCGTTGCCTGGAGGACCAAGGGACAAGAAGGGGGGCTTAGAGTTGGGCGTGGTCTGGGCTGTGATTGACAGCTCACTTGTCACACAAAAAAAACCAGACAGTTGTCATTGCTGCTTAAAGCAATAGTTTACACCAGAAAGTCTCATTCCACCCTTGATTACGCACTAAGATAATTGTAAAGCTACACTCAATAATCTCAGAATGACTCATGTAATTTAATTTTAATCCACTAGATGGCGCCAGAATACTCCAAACTGCAGCTGGGGCGTGTGTGAGAGTTGAATGGGTTCACATCACTGGCTCTGACAGACTGACGTCACACAAAACAACTGATGTCATAGAGAACTTCAGAGTCAATGGAGAGGCCAGAACCAAATTCAAATGTAGTGCCACCAAAAAGGTTGAGAGGGCGCCACACAGACGTTTTTTGGCTCATAAGTGATATTTTATCTAATTTGAACTAAAATGTCAAAAAAATGACCAGGATATGTAGACAGCACTACAATAAACATATTTATCCAGTTTATGAGTTAAAAAAAGTTGATTTGGTGTTTAGTCGCTCTTTAATCGTTTGTTCTCGTAGATTGTGGGATGTCAAAGTTGAGGCCCGGGGGCTGAATACGGCCCGCGATTTAATTATCTTGGTCCCCGGATGATATTTGTTCTTACTTAGAAGTGGCCGCACAGTTGTATGAAAATATTGGATTATTGATTTAATGTTCAGGACATGTGTTGTCGCTTTGAAGGAAGAGACCAGAGAGAGAGACCAGAGAGAGAGACCAGAGAGAGAGACCAGAGAGGACCAGAGAGAGAGACCAGAGAGAGAGAGACCAGAGTAGTAGTAGTAGTAGTAGTAATCTTTATTTATATACCGCCTTTTCACTGCAGATCTGAGTCTCAAAGCGGTTTACAATTGTTAATTTTGGGCATTTGTCTCTCACTCCACACAGAGATGGGAGCGGGGCCAGTACAGGAGGCGCATGCCAGAACTATTGGACATATTTTTAGTGGTAGGGGAAACCGGAGTACCCGGAGGAAACCTACGCAGACACGGGGAGAACATGCAAACTCCACTCAGAAAGGCCCTGGTCCGACCGGGATTCGAACCCAGGACCTTCTTGCTGAGAGGCGAGAGTGCTATCCACTCAGCCACCGTGCCGCCCAAAGAGAGAGACCAGAGAGAGAGACCAGAGAGAAAGACCAGAGAGAGAGACCAGAGAGAGAGACCAGAGAGAGAGACCAGAGAGAGAGACCAGAGAGAGAGACCAGAGAGAGAGACCAGAGAGAGAGAGAGACCAGAGAGAGAGACCAGAGAGGACCAGAGAGAGAGACCAGAGAGAGAGACCAGAGAGAGAGACTAGAGAGAGACCAGAGAGAGAGACTAGAGAGAGACCAGAGAGAGACCAGAGAGAGACCAGAGAGAGACCAGAGAGAGACCAGAGAGAGACCAGAGAGAGAGACCAGAGAGAGAGACCAGAGAGAGAGACCAGAGAGAGAGACCAGAGAGAGAGACCAGAGAGAGAGACCAGAGAGAGAGACCAGAGAGAGAGACCAGAGAGAGAGACCAGAAGAGAGAGACCAGAGAGAGAGACCAGAGAGAGAGACCAGAGAGAGAGACCAGAGAGAGAGACCAGAGAGAGAGACCAGAGAGAGAGACCAGAGAGAGAGACCAGAGAGAGAGACCAGAGAGAGAGACCAGAGAGAGAGACCAGAGAGAGAGACCAGAGAGAGAGACCAGAGAGAGAGACCAGAGAGAGAGACCAGAGAGAGAGACCAGAGAGAGAGACTAGAGAGAGACCAGAGAGAGAGACTAGAGAGAGACCAGAGAGAGAGAGACCAGAGAGAGAGAGACCAGAGAGAGAGAGACCAGAGAGAGAGACCAGAAAGAGACCAGAGAGAGAGACCAGAGAGAGAGACCAGAGAGAGACCAGAGAGAGACCAGAGAGAGACCAGAGAGAGACCAGAGAGAGACCAGAGAGAGAGACCAGAGAGAGGCCAGAGAGACACCAGAGAGAGAGACCAGAGCGAGAGACCAGAGCGAGACACCAGAGCGAGAGACCAGAGCGAGAGACCAGAGAGAGAGACCAGAGAGAGAGACCAGAGAGAGAGACCAGAGAGAGAGACCAGAGAGAGAGACCAGAGAGAGAGACCAGAGAGAGACCAGAGAGAGAGACCAGAGAGAGAGACTAGAGAGAGACCAGAGAGAGAGACTAGAGAGAGACCAGAGAGAGAGAGACCAGAGAGAGAGAGACCAGAGAGAGAGAGACCAGAGAGAGAGAGACCAGAGAGAGAGACCAGAAAGAGACCAGAGAGAGAGACCAGAGAGAGACCAGAGAGAGACCAGAGAGAGACCAGAGAGAGACCAGAGAGAGAGACCAGAGAGAGGCCAGAGAGACACCAGAGAGAGAGACCAGAGCGAGAGACCAGAGCGAGACACCAGAGCGAGAGACCAGAGCGAGAGACCAGAGAGAGAGAGACCAGAGAGAGAGACCAGAGAGAGAGACCAGAGAGAGACCAGAGAGAGACCAGAGAGAGACCAGAGAGAGGCCAGAGAGAGGCACCAGAGAGAGACCAGAGAGAGACCCCAAAGAGAGAGACCAGAGAGAGAGAACAGAGTGAGAGACCAGAGAGAGACCAGAGAGAGACCAGAGAGAGAGACCAGAGAGAGACCAGAGAGAGGCCAGAGAGAGGCACCAGAGAGAGACCAGAGAGAGAGACCAGAGAGAGGCCAGAGAGAGGCACCAGAGAGAGACCAGAGAGAGAGACCAGAGAGAGGCCAGAGAGAGACCCCAAAGAGAGAGACCAGAGAGAGAGAACAGAGTGAGAGACCAGAGAGAGAGACCAGAGAGAGAGACCAGAGAGAGAAACCAGAGAGAGACCAGAGAGAGACCAGAGAGAGAGACCAGAGAGAGAGACCAGAGAGAGAGACCAGAGAGAGAGACCAGAGAGAGAGACCAGAGAGAGAGACCAGAGAGAGAGACCAGAGAGAGAGACCAGAGAGAGACCAGAGAGAGACCAGAGAGAGACCAGAGAGAGACCAGAGAGAGATATTGAATATTCATATTATATCTATGAAAAAAGTGTTCATTGAGAAGTAGCTTTAGCCACAAACCAGAGTCACAAAGCGGTTTATAATTGTTATTTTTGGCCATTTGTCCTCTCACTCCACACAGAGATGGAAGCAGGGTTATTTTTTATTTATTTATTAATTATTCAACCAAACAGGAAACAAGTGAATCCACAGAAGTCCTCCAGAGAGAGTCGTGTTGTGAGTCCAATCCCGGTGTAAACAGTCGTGGCCTGTGACCCCTGACCCCTGCTCTTCACTGCAGACGCTGCCATCTGTCCTGCAGCGCTGTTTGTCCAAGTCAGCGCTAAGCTACTCCTCACCACGGAGTCCACGGAGTCCGCTGCAGCTCGCGTCGGTCATATTAAGCAGATCATAAAGCTCATGTGTGGATTTGCACCGTCACAGTTCTCTGCCACAGGCTTGTTATGATTTACACTGGATTTATTATTTAAAAATGTGCTTGTCCAGTAAAAGTTTGCAGGTATTTCTTACTGTGATAATCCTTTGTGTATAATGCTTTCTCTTTGGTCTCCCTCTGGTCTCTCTCTCTGGTCTCTCTCTTTGGTCTCTCTTTGGTCTCTCTCTGGTCTCTCTCTGGTCTCTCTCTGGTCTCTCTCTTTGGTCTCTCTCTGGTCTCTCTCTAGTCTCTCTCTCTGGTCTCTCTCTGGTCTCTCTCTAGTCTCTCTCTCTGGTCTCTCTCTGGTCTCTCTCTGGTCTCTCTCTCTCTGGCCTCTCTCTGGTCTCTCTCTGGTCTCTCTCTGGCCTCTCTCTGGTCTCTCTCTGGTCTCTCTCTGGTCTCTCTCTGGTCTCTCTCTCTCTGGCCTCTCTCTGGTCTCTCTCTCTGGTCTCTCTCTGGTCTCTCTCTGGTCTCTCTCTCTCTGGCCTCTCTCTGGTCTCTCTCTGGTCTCTCTCTGGCCTCTCTCTGGTCTCTCTTTGGTCTCTCTCTGGCCTCTCTCTGGTCTCTCTTTGGTCTCGCCCTGGTCTCTCTTTGGTCTCTCTCTGGTCCCTATTTGGTCTCTAGCATAGAGACCATAGCCGCCCTCGTGCCTGCCTGTTTACAAATTGCTTTCGGTAAAAATTTGACAGACCAGTCCAGACCTGGTCCACAGTCTGCCCTTTTGAGGACCCCTGCTGTAGGTAGTGTGGCTGAAGTGTCTTGCCTCAGGACACAACTACAGCACTTTACTGCTGCCCTGTCCTATTATGTGTTTTACAGAAGTCTCCCATCACGCTCCTGACCAGGCCCTGCCCTGCAAAGCTTCTGAGATCTTTATGTATAATCTAAATTCTAACAGTCATTGGGCTCGTCAGACTTATATAAAAACCAAAACCATACATTTTCCTCTTTCTGACGAGGATGAATACAAGGCAGGACATGATATTTTTTGAATAGATAAATATAAAATGGATAAATGGAGAGAAAACATGCTCATAGTGGGGTGGATGAGAGCAGCGTTCGGTTTGATGTCGTTACTATGGCAACAGTGACGTGGGCAATGTTCCCTGCTCGGGCAAAACTGCATCATCGCTATCACAACAAGACAACCATTCTGTAGATGTTTCTTTGAGTTGTAGTGGAGACATGTCGAGAAAGAAAAACCCATTTCTCTCATTCCCACTTTCTCTGAGACACAGGCTCATCTGTCACTCTTCATTACTCCATAGTCTCTTATAGAGCGCCTTTCAGACACTAAGACGGCTCAACTGTAAATGACACGTGCATTTATTATGCATTTAGAACACAGGGGTCAAAGTCGAGGCCCGGGGGCCAGATTCGGCCCGTGAATGAATTATCTTGGCCCCCGAATGATATTT